AATGGTTGGTTGATTTTGAAAATGTAATAAAAAAATAAATATTCAAATATAATAATAATAAAATACTAACATTTTTTTTTTTGAATATGTACTAACTAATTGAGGTTTCCCAAACAGTATCCTAGACAAAATAAAGTCTACTAAATGCTACCGGTAAATAAAATAAATTTAATAACTTAAATACAATAAACAAATAAAACTAATTCTGGCATAGTTTTTTTTGTTAAATAAAGACTAAAGCTAAATATAGAAAAACTATAAAATGTATGTCTTAATATAAAATAAGTAACAGCAGGGTTGGGTAACCTTAAAATATAACATAATAAACAACAGTCAACTGGTTAAAAAAGCTCCCCAACATCACATGCTTTAAAAAAACCATAATATATAAATATTAATTTGGAAAAGTAACTAAGTTTTACTAATTCGTATACCAGGGAAGGGAAGAGACCTAGGTAAACATTTGTTATCAGATGAAAAAATTTAACTCTGCCATGTAGATTCAATACTACAATTTATAGAGAAAGTTACACTTCGAGAAATACTGAAAATCAATGGAAGAGTCACAATAGATCTCCAGATCGCAGTGCAAATCCCCCAATATATTAATAACAATTCAGAGTATCTCGGTTTATTCAAATGAATTGCTTTATTAAATTGAATTAATATTAATTAAAAAGTAAAATGCCTTTACTCATTCATACTTTAATGCAGCATTAAACTTGGCTGAAGAATATATGTACATTAAGTAAACAAAACTAAAACAGCCAGCTCAAAGCATTACCATATCACAAAAATAAGAAATAATATATATATACATATATATATTTATATATATATATATTGAAAATTAAAAATAGTATAAACCGATAAAAAGTGCTAGTAAACTGTGCTAAAAATTGATGTGGAAAATCTTTTTACAAGTATTTTTAATGTTAAAATGCGATACTAAATAAATATAGTGATTAGTAATAATACAGGCTGCCCTACTTAACACTATCTAATCTCAGAATAATCTCTAGCCGCACAGTGCGGTACGCAGACCTTAGATCAGTCATCGAATAATCACGAGGCTTTTGAGGAATACATAAATTAGTCAGTTAGAAGGGTGGGTCTATGCAGAAACCCCCCAGCTATCAAAGAGTAAGAGTGCCTTGATGCACTAACTCGGAAAACACTCAACATGAACGAAGATCTAAAATCTAAAAAATCTAATAGGTTTATAAATTCTGAAAATCTAAACCAAAGCCAAAAATCTAAAAACCAAAATCAATCTGAAGACTTTCAAGCCAATAAGATACATAGATAAATGATTCTATTCAGATCGTAGTGCAGTTTATCGTACCAAGACGATAAAAGCTGTATAAAATTCGACATAGACTATTAAAAAAACTATTGTCACACTACATTTTTTGAAAAAAATGAAACTACTAAGAAATTTAAAGATATATAAAAACGTCCATGGACTAAAAAAGAAGTATTGTAGTACTATGATCTAAAAACAAACTATTAGAAACTGCAAGTTATATAAAAATATTCATATGCAGTATGATCTGAAGAACCATTATGTTTAGAAAATGTTGGACTATAAGAGTTTGTTTTAGAAGAACAAATAAATCTGATTTAGCTGATTTAACGATTTCTGGGAAAAAAATACTGCAGAACTTTAATTTTTGTAATAATTTAGCAGCGTTTTTTGATATAATGTTAGTTTAGTTTTCGTTAGAAGTAAATCAAAAAAATTTTAAATAATATTATTATTTTTAATTTTATTAAATATTTCAATAACGTTTTGATTTTGAAGTTATAATAAGATTTGCATAAAAATATAACTACATCCAATTCAACTAATTGAGATCAATTTTACAAATCATGTTATGTTTTGTTAAGAATACAGTTATTGTTTCTCCACAAAAGATGAAAAAAAAAGATACGTATAACTAAAATGTTACAGTAGAACAGTAAATCATTTCAAAATTAATCTCTAATTCTTATTTAGGAATATAAAACCGGTACTACATGGAATAATCAACATGCAATACTGAGTATAAATCTGTTGCCTCGGTGCTAGAAGTAGAATGGAACAAGGTATTAAAGCCTAGAAACTTACGAGTTATTTGAAAGAAAAAAACAATAGGCTCAAATATGATACTTTGAACAATAAGAAGTAATCTTATTCGGCAAATCTAATCTTATAAAAACTCGGTTTATACTAATTATTATAACTTAAAGATGCAGTTGATTATAAATATTCACAATATACAATCTACCTATAGAAAAATTCGAAACATTTGATGATAGTGGATTATAACATATACAAAAATATATTTCTATATTTTACATATAAAAGATAGTATCTTTAAACATTCAAATTTTTTATATTTTAAAATGATTATAAAAATAAGAACTTATGTTTAATATTTTATATGAGATATTCGTAGTATGAAAAGATGTATCTTAAGCTTGAATATAGTAATACCTATAAAAGGTCATAATAATATAAGTGTATAAAATGTTTGTTTATTATATAAATTACTCATTTCAAACAAATACACTAATTGTATGTATGGATTTTTAGATTCTTTTAAATATTATAAGCGAATTTAACTTTTTGTTCTGATAGTTGATTTTGTGCTATTAACCCTCTCTAAACGTTTGCCCACATCTGTTACCCAAACTTAACTTGGAGGGCCTACAATTTGTTAATTTAAGTCTGATACACTCTTATCGCAAAATATATATAAGAATATCATTAGTTTACATTTTGTTTTGTAAATAGTTTAAATAAACAACCGATTTTGTCACATTATTTCGCTATGCTAAAATTATTATATTTAACTCATAAGGTTAAAGTCAATTGAAGCTCTTACGTTAACTATTATGAAATGTAATCAAAAATGATGCTGTGCTGATCTGCTCGCTTATTATTATCATCAAAATCTGCAAAGTCTTAAATAAGATAACAGATTACTCAGATAGTTTGTTTGTATCTAAAGATTTATGACAACGAGCACATGCCAAGCGATACGGCAAAACATTCCAACAAAATGATAATAACAAACAAAGGTGTCTCAACATTAACTTTATGGTTAACACCCTAATTTCACAGATACATTTGATTATTTCTTATTGTTAAAATTTAGATATTTCAATTTTGAGTACATTAACTATTTGAATGTATTATTCCTATAACTATTTTTTCGAGATAGAAAAACATTGTTTTGAATGGAAAAATGTAATAGAAAGTTAATAGAGTAAATGGAATTTCATTTAAAGAATGTTAATATAACTATATAATATAATTAATATAACTATATTACAATTAAAATTTTTATGTCCAATGACAAGAAATGTATACCAAATACATAGGAGGGTAATTTTCCTCACAGAAAATTTGTACATATAAAAATTTTATTTTATATGTCTTATTTCTTATTGGAAACATCTCATAGTTTGATTCTCCGTATAAACATGGACTCGAGTTTAACATATACTGCCACAATATATTTCTCTAATAACTGAATATATAATAAACGACTTTTTTTTCTCTTTAGATACTTCTATAATAATAGCTTATAATTTTTTTTTGTAAACAATATCAAAAACAAAAATTATATGTAGTATTGTTATTAAAAACTTCTAAGGAAAAAAGTGGGTTAATCAAAACCTAAACACATTAAGATAACAAATATTTTAAACTTCAACAGAAAACATATAAAACCTTTCTCTAAACTCAAGTGTCATCAAAAAAAATATAGGTTTAAATGACGATGGTTCCTGTAGACACTGCCGAACATACGTAATATCTTACATGTCCTGCTGCGATTGGAAGCAGAAATAATACACATTAAACTACTTACACAAAATTAAATCCACGACATTTAATAGATTTTTTAGTATTCTAAGACTGGTGTGAAAAATTATATATATAATAGTATCGTGGAAGGATACATCGAAATTTTTCTGACCAAATTAAAATCAGTTTTTTTATATAAAAATGTCTCAAAATTTAAAAAGTTTGTAAAATGTTTTGTAACTATTTATGAAATGATTCTGTGAATTTTTTTGTTAGTCAACTTAGGCTTTTTAAGATTAAAATATCTACATGAACATTTCCTACACAAATTTTTTGTGAAATTATTTTAAATTATTTTCTACTTTAAATTAAATTAAATTTTTTTTTTACTTCCTATTTTTTTAAATGTATTTTTTTTAGCTAACTGAACATTCTTATTGACTAGACGTTGACAAGATTATATTAAAGAAATAATTATTGTTTATATATTCACTAACATAAACATAATGATGCAACCTAAAATATCTTTATAAATCTCTAATAATTGTATATAATCCTGTTGAACAAGATTGTTAATGGAAATATTTTATATTTGGTATATCATAAGGCTCTTCAACTTAAACTACCCATTTATTTTATAGCGTGAAAAAAATTATCACATCATAACTCGTACGTATCTAAACAAATCTTTTGATGTTTCAAAAGTAAAATAATTGATAATCAAGTACAAAAAATCAAAAAATTAATTCAGCACAATTTGTTCATTTAAACTCTAAAGACCAGTTAAGGCAAACGGTAACAAAATCTGTGAAGTGTTGGGGCTGAAAACAATACTTAGATACATTTTGATATACGGATGTACTATATATGCACAAAAAAGGTGTATATTAGAATTACAATTAAAAACATATGTAATTGTGTAATGTGAAAGAAAAATAATAATACAATATACCTATAAAAAAAATAAGCATGAATGAAAGTTGTACACAATTAATGGACTGTGAAGATTATGTACGTTTATATATAAATATATAGATTGATATTCGTATATAAATCTGCAAAGTATAACACAATAAAATCAATCAAAAGTGCAATTTGTTGTTGTGCAATTTTATTATATGAGATTTATATAGAATTTAAATTGATCTTTTGTTAATACTATTATATCAATTCTTTTTTTCATTCTCATTTTTAACAGACCAAGTGAAATTCAAAACTAACAAAGTATCAAATTAAACTGATATACAATAGCACAAACCGTTCAGACATGACGCACAGATTCCAAACCAAAATAGCATAGACTACATTTGAATGTAAACACCACAACATTTGATACGAATATATACAATATATATTTAAATATCATATATATATTACATCCATATATTTGATATTACCAACAAGTGTTACAACACAGCTGATTTTGCATTTTCATGGAAATAAGAAAAAATGGAAAATTTGGGTTATAAAGAAGGTACAGCCAAGCCAAGACGCATTACACGTTCAAAGAGTGTCATCACCAAAAATGAAGCTGAACAACCTTTGTCTGGGAATAATAACGGCAGGTAAGATAAATATACTAACAAGTTAAATAAAATTCTGGGCAATGTGCCTATGGGCACCCGTTATGGGATGTAACCGGTATAATCTAACCTAAATAAAATTCTAAATGTTTGTAGAAAATATATATCGAATTTTATAAATTGCAATTCCTTTAGTTAATTAATTATTAAACATTAATTAATTTTAAATTGGTAATAAGTCAAGTAATTTATATAAAAAAGGATATTAAGTAATTTGCGATGAATGATTATCTATAGAAGTATTATTATTATTATGGAAGTATTATTATGCAGATTATGCCTCGAAGATGAAGTAACTACCATGCATATTCTTTGTGACTGTCCAGCTTTAATTACGCTTAGAAGAAACTTGTTTCATATGGAACTTCTGTCACCAGAACAGATTATGAACTTTTCTTTAGATTTAGCTCTAGACTTTATTCACAAAGCTTTAAGGCGCTTTTTGTAATCAATAGTGAAACTGGTACAATAGGACTCTTCTGGCCGCAGTACCGGCTGTTGGGCGATTTCACGTCTAAACTTTTAATAATCTATGGAAGTAAAAAAATATATTATTTAAATATGTAGAAAAGTGTAGGATACCATCAGTATGTGTTAAACAGAGTAGGTTTTGCCATTAATTAAAAATTTTTATTCAAATGCTTTTAAGATCGCAATAACGTTTCTAGATATAATATCAGAATTAATGTTTATAAACATGAAACTTATGTCCCATAGGAGGCGACTTAAATGTCAAAGGAGGCAATTTGAGACCTAAATTAATACAAATAACTTTGAAACAATTGTGGTCAGAAAGTTTCCCTGTATTTCAGAGATATGGAAAAAAGGATCTTTAAAAAACAATGTAAAAGATATATTTATATTTGTGGAATTTTCATACAACTGAGTTTGTTATTGTTTCTCCACAAAATGGCAGAAAAGGTTTTGAAATAAAAATTTTGCAACAATTAGTTTATGTCTAAAAAAATTGAAATTAAAAAGACATCTCTTTAATTTTTTTAAAACGCGTGCATGCTATAGATTTGTCTATTTGTTAAATTAAGTGAAGTCTGTTATTTACTGGAAAATATGTGCAAACTGCAATTACTTTTTGTTCCCAAGGATATTCACTGTATCTACACATTAGTGTTATGAATTTATCTATTTATATATTTACACCGGTAGTAAAAAAAATTATATATATTTTAATAAGCTTAAAAATTATATTTTTAAATAATAAAATCTTTATGTAGAACATTAGGATGTAATAAATAATAAACTAAAAGACCTCTTCCTCTAGTATTCGTCATCATTTAAAGAAAATTTGAACAACTATCAAAGTTCAAAAATGTTCAATTAATTAGAAGATACAAAACATATTATTATAATAATATTAAAACCAAAATAATGTAGAAAAATATAGGTAAAATACTTAATACTTAATGGCGTACTTTGTACTTTTGGATAAAGCATCTATAAATACACCATAAAGTAAATTGAGTGCAAAAATCCGTTAAATTTAAATATGTATATATTTACAATAAAACGATATTTCACATGAGAATTAACAACTACAACATTATACAAATGTTTTGCTTTTCTTTTTATTTTTTGGTATTTTTACTATTTGTTTATTTTTTCAAAAGTAATTAGTTATCAAATGTATATAAATTATATTTTACGATGGATGATATTTGAGATATATGCGACACAAACAGGTATCTCGTTTTTTTTTTGATTTTTTGTTATTGTTATTCATTCTTTGATTTCACGGAATTCGAATCGCGACTACTCGAACATGAATAGGCAATGAATTATTAACCAAAGAGCATCGAGACACATCGATCGACAGGCGAACGTTTTCAGTTAGCAGTGACTGTTTAGACAACAATGAAGTTGTCGGCGGAACAACCCGAAAAGTAGAGATTTCGATGATTCTAGGCGCAACAGTGATTGGCTAAAAATTCGTGAAATTATTCAAAAAATACAATCAGGCGGTGTTTTTTTTTCTCGGTTTTCTAATTAAATTTGCTTGGGAAAAGTTTTTAGTACGAAATTTAGCATTTTACGTTTAATATGAAAATAGAGAATTCATTACAAAATTGGCAGCAACCGTGGATATGGCTTCAGACAGTGTACAGTTTAAATAAATTATACAACATATAAATAAATTAAAAATTTAGAATGTTTTTTTTTTTGTTAATTTTTGATTAATTGTTTTTAACCTGTTTTCTAATGTGTAGTGTTAGCTTTAAAACTTATTTTAAATTTTTAATAAGAAAATTAAATTGTTTAAATTTTAACAAATTGTCTGTGGAAACCTTAATAAAAAAACATAATTTTTAAATAAAATTTAATAGAATAACTTAAATAAAAACACAGTGCAAAATATTAAATAAAAATAAATAAAACAAAAAAAAATAAAACAAAAAAATAACACGAAGTACGTTTTTTAACCAATAATTCCTATTATAATTGGTGTTGGTTTACTGCTCCTTATATCCTCGCACTTTTAATGTAACAACTCTGTTTTGCAATTCACTAATGCACAAAAAAAATACTTAAACTGATTTAATTTATTGAAAAATTGAATTAATACAAAGCAGTTTAAACTATTTTTAAGTAATAAATCTTAAATGTATTCAGTGGAAATTTACATGTACGATTATAAAAGAGCAAAAATTAGTGAATTTAATTAAATTTGTGAAAAGTTGCTAAACAAATAAAACGAGTTTAGATAAAAAAAAAACAATAACAATTATATTTATAAAATTAAAAACATGTGCAATTTTGTAAATTTGATAACAAGATAAAGCAATCTCATTATTACATAGAAAAATAATAATAATTGTAGTTACAGATTGAAGTGCTGATTTAAAATATTAATTCATTGTGTCTACTATTACTTTTTTATTATTATTATTATTATTATTGATTAGAATTATTTGAATTTACTGTTATTAATACAAAATAATTTAATAAATATTGCATAATTATTCAATTAAAATAAAAAAAATATTAAGGCAACTTATTTTTTTTTTAATTATAATCAATTAAATTAATTATAATTTAAAAAATTATTAGATGTATGTATTACTGTTGACCTCAATACTTATGTGTTTTAAATTTTGCATATGTTAACAACTGTGATATTTTTCTTTAATCTTAAATGTGTTTTTTATATAACATAAGTTATTATATAAAAATATAAATTTAAAAACACGTCCCAAAGCCCTTTTATATTATCAAATATTATAATAATTGTGTATTAATTAATAGTTTGTAATAAAAAAAGATAAGGATATTAATTTTTTTACGTAAAGTAAAAATATAAAATATAGGTAAAGTAAAAATATGATAAAAAACCAAAGAATAATGTCCCATATTTTACAAATCAGATGAATTTTACCAAAAAATTGGCAGAAATTTTTTTTGAATTCCTTTCTTAAAATAATATGACCCGTATCTTGGGAAAAAATTTTGAAATTTTTTCCTAGAAGATTTGGACCATGGGTTTTGACAATTATAGATATTATAGACACATTTTGAACGGCCATAACTCAAGATCCTTAAAAGATAGACTTGAAATTTGTTGCGTTTTAAAGATAATTGATCAAACTTTCAAGAAATAGTTGAAACAATTAAGATGGTTTATATTTAAGTACTAATATTAACCGTTAAATTTTAAAAACAAAACGTTTTTTCAAATGTATCCCGAGTATTTTTATTTCTCATGTTTTATTTAGATTCTGTATTAAATTATACTGAGAAATAAAAATTTTTGGCATGCCATTATTTTTTGAAATTTCTAAAAAAATTTTTTCTCCCGCAAAACACATCAAGCACTGCGTACTATATTTCCGATGAATGAATTTTCAAAGAAAATACTACAAATATTCTTGTACAATAATTTTGATTTCGATTTTTAATATAATTCTACATAAAATACAAAAATTTCAAGGCGTTATTTTGTCCTCAAACACATATACACGATTTTTCAGTAAAAAAAAGAGCAACATATTAGAATATTTTTAGTATTTATTTTTGATTCGGATAAACCAAAAATTTTTGTTTAAAAAATAAATATTTTTAGTACCATACTACTAAAAATATTAGAAGTATTAAAAAAAAGCGACTTACACATCACTCATACGCAACATAATAGCATTAAATCAATTTTCCACAACTAAGGACACAAAATGTTTACTTTCTATTTCTGAATTGAATTTATCATTAACTTCTACATAAAAATTAAACTTTCTAGGATGAGATACGGATCTTCTTATTTTATGAAAAAAGCTCATAAAAAAATTTCAGTCAAATCGGAGATGATGACGCCAAAAAGGTGTCCAATTTTTAAAAGAATGACCCATATATGAAAACATTTGTTAACAATGACTGATGATTCAAAATTTTAGTACATTGTCTCTTTATCTCCCCAAAATAATTATTAGTTTAACATAAAAAAGTAGTAAACCATATTTTTTTTATTGCTTAAAATTAAAATATAAAATCAACAAATTTGCAAAAGTTAAAAAAATTATTACTCAAAGCTGAATTATTTTTTATAAAGCTGAAAAATAATGTTTAGTGAAAGATAATTATATACACCACAATTCCGAACCCGAATAGCAATTTTTTTAATGTCAGTTACATTTTACTTAGCTCTTAAATGATTAAAAATTAAAATAAATAAAAATGTTTTAATTAAAATATACTTCTAATCAATACAATAATCATTACAAATTAACTTTCAATTCAGACATATTTTACGACTTTATAATTAAATTAGTCGATTAGTCGACATCAGATATTAGACATTCTTTTTCTAAATATTTTCATCAATCTAAAATTATTTTATTATTTTTAAGGTTATTCAAATGTTTTCTTACTCCAAAAACTGTTTTTAGTCAATATAAATGAAATTATATTGCCCTCGCCTAATAGGTTATGTTCTGACTCAATTAAAAACAGTATGGATTAATCCTTTACTTTTAACTCAACTGCAGCTTTACTCCACATAAAATCAGTTCATCTATTCAATTATCTGTGACACATACAAATTTGATCCTAAACGAATGAATCCATTCTACCACTGTGGCAAGACTTTAACAACAAGGGTTAGGCTCAATTTGAGCGTACGCTCTTCCATGTCTTCCTTTTTCATTATTAGTTTCAGTATTAGTATTAATGTATAGTATTTCATAAATAAAAACATATACATTCTTCATTCATATAAAAAACATTATCTAATCATTTACTTAAACAGTAGCTATAACCACATGTTAAGCGATATGTCATATTTCTGATATCTGTTAGTGATATGCTATATAGAAGGAATATGTCGCTTTACCCGTAGCATTATCTATAGTTTAATTTTAGCTGATCTTACATCAGATAACGCTGATACATTCATACATTAGTATGTATGAAGTATATTGAAAATACTTGAAATATATTAATTAAAACTTATTTTGCAAATATGTGCGGTGTTCAGAAAGTATTAGGAAAATTTTTTTTGGAAAAATATTGATAATTATACCATAAGTATTCAAACAATTACAAATTATATTTTATAATTATTTCGTATCAAATGTTACAAAAAGTATTTTCTTGTGTATATATAATTTTATTAAACAGTTTTTACTCAATTTTGCAAAAAATACCTCTAAAGCAAACTATATATAAATAATATTATATATATAATAATATATGTATATATATAATAATAATATATATAATATATATGTATTAATAAATAATATTATATATATATATATTAATTATCAAAATATATATTTCATATTCTATACTCAATGTTCTATATTATATTATATTCTGTATATATTATATAATCAAAGTAATATCTATGAGTATAATAATCTATAAGTATATAATATATAATTAATTATTTATTTAATTAATTATTTTAATTATTTATTATTAATAATTAAAAAACCAAATCAATAACTTATTAAAGAACCTTAAAATATTAATTCAAATAATTAACTGTTTTCAATTTCAGATTCAAGTCGATACCTCCTAATCTTATGGTAAGATGGCGCAACAATACGGACGCCATGATAGAAGCACAATATCCAACACCTGGTGAATTTGAATATATGGAATGTGGACCATCCCCACCGGCTGAAAGTGCGCCAAGTATGTATGACAGTTTTGAGGAACCCACCAGTGAACTAAGCGTGCAAATATGCAACGATACACTCCGCATAAGTCTGATCGATCAAATGAAGAGCGCTGCGGGACGTGTACGTTTCTTTGAAGACATCGAACAAGGCAATGTCATTGCCGAGAATACTAAAACTCATTTCGAATCAGCATCGAAAATTGAAAAGAATCTCAGTTATTTATGGGCAGCATTTTTAAAACGTTGGGATTTGTTACAAAGTCTCATAGATGCTGGCGCCGAGCTTAATTTTTGTGATCAGAATGGTATAACAGCTTTACACTTGGGAGCCTTCAGTGGTTGTCTTTCCACGTTGAGTTTTTTGGTGGGCAAGGGAATGAATGTCAATTTACAGCCAAAATGTTATACACCATTGCATTGTGCGGCTTTCGGTAACACAGCGGAGGCAGCTAAATTTTTAATAAACAATGGCGCGCTCATCACCATTGATACCAATAAACCAAACTGTGAGGAGAGTTTGCTGCACTGTGCCGTACGCTCAAACGCACTGGAGTGCTTACAACTATTTATAGTTGAAGGTGCAGATGTTAATTCACTTAAACCAAATGGCACTAATGCGATACATTTGGCTGCAGATTTAGGTAACGCACAATGCTTAGAAGCATTGCTGACTGCAGCAAATGCCGACCCAAATGTCAGAATCTGTATACGTGAAAAAGAATCTACTGCACTACATTTAGCTGCTGATGAGGGCAATGTGGAGTGCGTAGACTTACTTTTAGCCAAAGGCGCTGATGCTAAACTGAAGAATCATCGCGGTTTTACTGCACTACACTTGGCAGCTCGCACCTCTAGCTTGGAGTGTGTTGAATCTTTACTTCGTAATGGCAATGCAGATCCGAATGCCGAAGATTTTGACCATCGCACGCCCTTACATGCTGCTGTTGGTAAATCAGAGAATGCTTTTGATATATTGGAAACGCTAATACAATGGGGTGCCAATGTTAATCACAAAGATATTTATGGTTTTACTGCACTGCATTTAGCGGCTTTAGATGGCTTGGCACAATGTGTTGAAATGTTAATATTTCATGGTGCGGATGTAACAACAAAATCGAAAAAAGGTACATCGGCACTGAATGTGATAACGCGAAAAACTCCCGCCTCTGTGGGCATGATAACACAAAAACTTGATGCTGCTATAACGTTACACCATTCACAAGACCCAGTCAATCGTGAAGTGGAGTTAGAATTAGATTTTCGACAACTATTGCAACATTGTCATCCACGCGAGATCAGCTACTTGAACACATTCGTAGATGAAGGACAAAAAGAAATACTAGAACATCCATTATGCTCATCGTTTTTATATATAAAATGGGGCAAAATACGTAAATACTATATTGGACGATTAATATTTTGCTTCACATTCGTACTATTTCTTACACTTTATGTACTCACAGCTTTGGCGCATAACTGCTATAATGGTAGCAAGGATGATAATACCACAATACAAGCGCAGGAATTATGTCAGAAGCAATCGATACTTGGTGATATGCTACGCAATAATCCATTTGTGATGGAAATGCAATGGTGGGTATTGGTGGCAATTACTATAGTTGAAATATTTCGGAAACTGTATGGCATCACTGGATACTCATCATTTAAACACTATGTGACGCAGGTAGAGAATATAATGGAATGGTTTGTAATAACGAGCGTTTTTGTTATATCTTATATTTACACGAAGCAAACGTATACCTTTCAAAATCATATCGGGGCATTTGCAGTGTTGCTGGGTTGGACAAATTTAATGTTGATGATCGGTCAACTACCAGTATTCGATGTTTATGTGGCTATGTACACTAGAGTACAAGGTGAATTTGCCAAGTTATTTATGGCTTACTCGTGCATGTTAATAGGATTTACGATAAGTTTTTGTGTTATATTTCCTTCTTCATCTTCATTTGCTAATCCATTCATGGGATTTATATCCGTATTGGTCATGATGATAGGCGAACAAGACCTTTCTTTACTAATAAACGATCCAGATGGCAAAGATCCACCTTTCTTGTTAGAAGTAAGTGCACAAATTACATTTGTGCTTTTCCTACTATTTGTCACAATTATACTGATGAATCTGCTCGTTGGCATTGCCGTTCACGATATACAAGGATTGAAGAAAACAGCGGGACTCTCAAAATTGGTACGACAAACAAAGCTAATTTCATACATTGAATCCGCTCTTTTCAATGGCTATCTACCAACTTGGCTGAGAAATTTATTGCACTACACAGCTTTGGTCTCACCGCAGGCATATCGTGTAGTGCTATGTGTTAAGCCACTAAACCCAAGTGAGAAACGTTTACCACGCGAAATACTTATGAAAGCTTACGAAGTGGGAAAAGTGCGTAAACATTTTGGCCATACAATATCGGCTAAAAATACCGCAGCCACTTATTTGTCCTACAAAAACCAATACAACACGAATAAAAGTCAAAACTATACTACTGATGAACTAGACACGGTACATTTTACTACACTAACTACTAAAATAGACGATAATGCCGAGCGTATTGAGTTCTTAACTCAAGAAATACAGGAACTGAAGCAGGCTTTAATAACGCAACAACAACAAGCAAGTAAAGTTATCGATAAACTATTAATTGTGATTTCCAATCAGCAAAAAAATAATTTAAGAAAATAATTTTTCACTTTAGGCTAATTTATACCCTGTGTGGTATTTTAGATGATATAAGAGCTATAGAATTTATTATATAAAGAATTTATATTTTCAGAAGAAAAAGTATTAGTTCAGAATTATTTTAAGAAAATGGCACAAAAAAATGAAGAAGTAATTGTAATAAATTGTTTTAAAATATGAATAAAAAATACGGGTTATCTATTTGGTGGTCCTGATATCGCAGCACTATTTAACAAAATAGGTTTGAACTGTCATATAAGGCATCATAAACCACAAAACGGATAACCTTCTTTTAAACTTTAAAAAGTGTAACAACAGATGCTAAAACGATGGAGTAGCTAGTAAGTCAAAAGTTCAGAATATTTAGAAAAAGAGGAAGAAGTGCAAGATACAAACTTAGCGTTTTTTATAATACAACAAATCATATAGTTCATACATACATAAAGAAAGTTATTATATCCACTCTAATTTTCAAGATTTTTACGTCAGTAGATTGAATATTATTCAAAGCACTATAGACTCATTTGTAAATTAATTACAATTTCAAGAATCTTCGTTATAATAAAGCAAATTATGGAGAGATATTGTTGTTCTAAGCCCTTAATTAGAGCTATAAAATTATACATGTTCAATAGAGTGAACTACAATTTAAGTCTATTGAAATCTTCAGAATTATACAACAAATAATCAAAAAAAATAGGAAACGCACTTTATTAAACTTAATCTAGGTTCAGGTTAAGACTCCTGGCTCAAATATGGTTTATCAGACACTTTAAGGGCTGAGCAACGATAACCATATATAGAAATTAAATAAAGAGAACTATGATCTTATTATAACACTTGATAATTTTAATAAATTAAACTCATTTATAATTTGTGCCACATGTTTTCCTATTAAAATATATAGATATAATATATATTTTTAAATATTATTAGACACTTAATTTTTTAAGTAAAGTATAAATTGTTTTTTTTTTCTTTTTAAATGCATTATTTGTAAATAAATGCAGGTAGAAGGACAGACGTGCAATAAAACTAGTAGTCTAATAGATCTATAAAAGTCAGCTTATGCTAATGTTGCAGTGACTAAAACTTTTATTTTTTATATTTAAATATTATAATAAACATTGTAGAATGAATTCTAAAAAAAACTTATATAACAATATTTAATATTAAAAGGCAATATGAAACCTTACATTCTCATTGTATTCCCTTCACAGTATTGTAAAACACTGCTAGACTTAAGGCTTAGTGGTAAAGTATGTATGAAATATAACAGCATTAGATAATAATATAATTACCATAAATATTAGTATAATTTTCTAATATAAAAAGTTATAAAATAACAGTAGAATAAATTAATTAAATAAAAAAACAAATTGATTAAATAAAAACATAAATTATAAAATAAACCCCTAATTTAATTAAATAAAAAAATAATTAAATAAAATTTTATATATAATATAAATACATTAAAAAATAAACCCATAAACAAATATATATACATCCTAAAATTATAAAAATAACTAAATCCCTTAGATATATGGCGGCTAGCCAACAAAAATCTAAAAAAATTGCCTGTTATCAATACACTTTTATATAATTTATATATGCAAATACCAAATATTATTTTTTATATAAACATATATAAAAATATATATAACATTAAGCAAATATCGAATATATATACATTCCTATCAAGCGCCTATATTTTTTAATTGTATTTAATAAATATATATCTCTTATTTATAAAATGCTAATTGTATTTACATATAAGAACAGATTATTTAATATACAAATATTTTATGTGTATAGTAAATATTGATATTAAATTTTGTTTATATGATTGAGAACATTTTACTATATAAAAACGACGTCACCGAGAAAACAAATATTGGCTGAGATCAAACAAATGTTTGCGGCATTAAGGCTGTGCAGGATTCAAGTTATTAGTAGTGTAATAAAATTTTTCAACAAATTATATTTTAAATAAAATTATTTAAAAAAAAATATGTTTCAATTCTTACAAGTGCTTGTTTATTAATATAATGACTATATTTAAAGGTAAGTGTATAAAATAAAAACTTTTATGTTTTCCTGAAAACATAAGAATACATTAAGTTTACTACTTAGTTTACAATACTCCAATATGGAGACTATACTAAATGTAATAGTATATAAAGTAGTAGAACTGGAAAAAGCATTGTAGTGAACATCATACAAAAATAAGAATTTTTAGAGACATTTTTTGTTATTTGTCACTCAATTTAAGCTGACTTAAGCTGATATTTTTATAAAGACAAAAAAAAAATAAAATATAACAACTGACATAATATAACTATACTTTCTGCGATGGCAAAAAAAGATTGATAGAGCTGACTGGGCGAAATCAATGATATACCAAATAGATCAGTACTATTCCAGATAAGAGTCTTTAAATGCAGTAGCGGTACACATTACTTAAGATGTATATGACATTAGCTACTTTAAGGAGACAGTTCACTCAAATATTGGGAACGGAGTTTAACACCTGAAAACTGGTCAATTCAAAGAATTTCAGCCCTTTTTTTGAGAAAATAGGACAAAAACAGTAGTTTCTTTAAAGCACGGTTTCTTCCATTTCCTTCATTCGTATTATATAGTATAAACTGGTTATAGTGCTTAAATTTATAGAGCTATATCCAAAGGCTCTGAGATTACGAAACCATTGATGAAACTAATTATACAGCGTATACTTGTTCGTTATCAGTAAATTGTATTGTATCGTATTATATAAATTGTGTATCGAACAGTAAATTGAGATGCAACGATCTTTATACCTATTTTTTTTCGACTACTATTTAGTCTGGATGCACAATGTTGATATTACATAATACATCATCTCAGTCAGCTACAATGGGTTCGAGTATACAACTTTACATTGAGGGACTGTATCTGAAACATTCAACAAGACAGGACAAGCAGAACAGACATCTGTTCTCATTATAACTATATTTCATCGTTATTTATGCTATTTTGAAACTCACAACCAAAAATAAAACCCAAAATCAAATATGGAAATTTTTTATTCTAAACAAAAAATTTAAGTATCGGAACTCAGCTGATGACAAATGTGGACATACAATTTCATTGATATGCAGCAAAAATTTAGAAATTTAGAAGCGGAGGTAGACAATAACCATAACAGTGATGAAAATGTATTAGGTATTTCGAGAAAATTATTTTAAAAGATCTATGGTCGTCGCATTCAAACTAGTATTAGTGTTTTTTTAACTTTAAATTCTTCAAATAAAAAGAGATTTAATCGATCAATTAGGTCAAAGTCACCCATGCCAATTTTTTGCGCATTAATTAATATAAGTTTAGAACTGGATAATTAACTAAACAGATCTGCGCTATATCGTCAGTTAAATTTTCAAGAATAAAACTAAATATGATATTGGTTATAATTATATAAAGTTTTGTGTGACTGTTATTATTGTAAGAGAGAGATTAGACTTTCGTTAAAGTTTTCATTATATAGACAGAGGCACGAGTTTTTCTACGTTCGATTACCTAAAAATTTTATTGATAACAATGACTCTTCAAAGCCCAAAATTCTTATATCAGAATCAAAACATCGCGTTTCACACCTTATCGCTTTTTAGTTTTTTTTTAATGCACTAAGCTATAAAAAAATTAAAAGGACTCTATATTAAAAATAGACGTAAATTTGTACTAATATCGATAATATAGATTTAAAGAAAATCTCAAAAATCGCAACAAGTTCTCAATACGAAAATTTAGAGGGATGGAGTATATAGACACATGCATAGTTACTTGCAGCACATACTTTGAATCGTCTATCTCTTTTCAAATTATTGATTGATATTAATTTATAACTACTTTATTGAGGTGGCTAGATTTATTCACCTATACCAAGACTACATTTGATATCTTTTATCAATACCACATCTGCCCCTAAGCTTCCCAATCCTAGTCTATTCTACACTCTCGTAATTCTTTTATGTAATGCTTTTCAGTTTATCGTATTACGCTACAATAACAATAGCATACTACTTACTTTATAGGCGATATATATATAAGATCTACTAAGGATAAAACCTTTTGCTTTTTAATCGTGCTTAAAAAAGTAGATCATGATCTAACTGAAAAATAATAAGTTACTATTTTTAATATATAAGTTTATGCGTAAGATAAAGTATAATATATTACTTTATAAAGTTTTTTACTTTGCTGGACTGGTTATAATTATTTTTTGTTTGGGTTAAATACTTTAACATTAATAATAACTTTAGTATTAAATTAATTTAATAATGAATTTTCTTTTCCATATAAATTTTATAAAATATAATACAGTTGTATTCTTATTAAAGAAAAATTGTTGACTTACCTGTTCACGACATTGTATATTGTCAAAATATGTAATATCCTGTCCATTAATGGTGATAATACCAGTACCTGGCATGCGTACTGTGACATCACCACGTGCAGATTTACGTAAACATTCTAAGAAAAAGTAAAAATAGTTTCAAATGAATATATATATATATAAGTATGTATATATATGTGCATATCTATTAAGTAAAATTTTGCTTAAAAGCTGAATTTTATTAGCCTTTCACAAGGTAAAATTAAATATTAAACAACAAAACAAGCAAAATGTTTACTTAATGAACATCAAATGAATAAATAAACCAGTTTACCATAAGTTGTGATATACTGACGACCTTTCTCATCAATACGTGGTTTAGGTGCCTCTAATTGTATAGTTTGATCCATTAAAGGTTTTAAATATTTGTCAATAAAGCTTTTACTTTTATATGAAAAAGGCAGGGTAACTAAACGATTCATGACATTTGTAAAGTTATTATATTCAATATCAGCAATTGTTTCTACTAATTCCAATTCCAGTTGAGCTTTTGATAACCATTGATGACCAGCAATATCACTGTAAGACATAAAACATTATTTTGTGAAAAAAACTTTTAGCTATGATATTATATTGGACACAAAATTTTAGTTGTAGTTTACTAAATTTACATTATCACATTATTATAGTTTATCTATCTTTGAAATAAAGTAATGATCCAAATTAGTGATTTAAATTGCAGTTAATTCTTTACAAATACACAATTTTCCATTTATCCTTACATATACTTCGATTATGGGATCTCTTCGACAACTTCTGTCTATAAGAAAAATATTGCTTAATTGCTCTGTGGCCGACCGGCAATCGCCTAGCGTCTATAGGTTTTTACTTTCTTAAATATGCTTCCAGTACTTACTACCAATGTATACATTATAGACATTGCCCGTTTCATCCAAACAATACAGTGATTCTATGGTCTAGAATAAGAATATCCACATTCAAAACTGCTTGTCAGCTAGTGTTTAAAAGTTCTCTGTAGTATAGAAATCAACATTTTTCTTAAGAGTCAAGTGAATCCATATTTTATGTCAAGTCATCTATATATCTTTGCAAATAAAGTCTAACTAGCGAAGGTTAGCGTTATGAAGAACTTTCAATAGTTAAAGTTACATTTTCTTTTTACAATTATAATAAATTAACCCATTCGCAGTAGTAATTACATTGATAACGCATAATAAACATTCACTAATGATAATGTAATAATGAATTTAAAATCATTTATAAATACTTATTGTGTTTTTTATAAAGATTTTATATAATTTGTATGTGTTCAGTCGTACCTGAACACAATATTATTCGATTTATAAATACATACACTTTTAAATTGGGATCGGGTTTATTCCCACGACGTAACATACGCTCTTCTAAGTCATTCAGTTTATTAATTTCTTCAGCGGCATCCTTAAATTTACAAAACATAAAAACTAAATTAACAATAAATTTGAAAAAGAAAAATACAAGCAGCTTACAAATAATAATTTAAAGAAATTAGGTTTGCCGGTATAAAATAAACTATTGAATGGTCTGCCCGTTTCATCGAACTCAGCTGCTTTTCTAGCTGGAAATACTTCACTTGGATGTTTCATAGTAGGACGTGCTTTTTTATCGAAAATTCCGGATGGAAACAGATATTCAATGGCATTCTAAATAGAAAGAGAAAAAAAAAGTTATTATTAGGTCTTAATAAAAAAATTAATTGAATTGCTTAAAAGCTCACATCGATGTCTTCTTGTGTGAAACTTTCTGGATCTTCGCCCATCATATTTGCCAAGTGTCGCTTGCCAATCTGATATTCCAAGTTTTGTGTTTTCATAAAATCATCATGTTCTTTGGCACGTTCCAGATATGCCGTCATAGCCTTGCTAACCTTTTGTGTTTTGATAGCTAATGGCGCTGCTTGAACGGTTACCTCTGTTCCATAGTTATGCTAAAATATTTCGTTTTCATTAATTATATTAAAAAACAAAAAACATTGTTTAAAGAACATAAAAAACAAAAGCTAGCAAAGACGGCTCACATTACCGCTAAAAGAGGTTATGCAAGCACAATAATTACTTATTATTTATATATTTAAAAATGAATTGATTTAATATAAATCTTATATATACCGCATTTGTTGCTATTGCACTGTTTAGTTTGCACACATTTTGCATTAAATTTTTACTGTTTTTTATAACATTAACATTTAAAACACGCAGCGCCATTATTTCAATTTACTGCATTAAAAATTTTTTTAGAGGAATGTGTTTAAATCAGCTGTGCGTTGATGGCGTAAAGAGAGCGCTTCATATATAAACAGAGCGCAATAAGTGTAATAAACCTAAAGTGATAGATACAGCAAATTTAAGTTATGTGTTTGTTTAAAATATTACATATGCTGCTGAAGATGATCTTAAAAATTAAAAATTTTAAAAAATTACAACTTTATATAACTACTTATATTAATAATATCAAATATACAATAAATAGAATAAAACACAATAAAAATAAATAAATTGGTTGAATTCTCACTTTAGTTTTCAAAAAAATCAACCGTTTTTGGTTCAATTAAAGATTTTTCAAGTATTTGCATTATTTTTATAGCTTTTTGTCATATATAAAATCATTTTACACTATATATGTCCTCTTATACATATTCCAACATAAACAAAATATATTGTTGATAGACATTTATTTATTTTTCTTTTAATTTTTTTATTTTAACACCTACTAGGTAGTTTATATTATATTAACACAAAGTAAATATCTTGATTAGGGCACAAATTATTATAAATTATTATAAATAAATTATTATAAATGAAGCAACTGTGAAATTTTTTCCTGCTTCAAGAATCTTAGAGTGTAAATATTTTAGTGGTTTCTTTATTAAGAAAATTTTAAAACAAAATTTATGTGTTTTAATATCGAAATTGATCCTTCAAAGAATCACGCTCTAAATATGTTTTTTCATCCACATTTAAAATAAATAATAAAATTAATCATTTATTTGAACAAATCAATTTAAATTATTTGTTCAAATAAATTTTTCTCAAGAAAAAGGTTCAAGTTGATATTAACTTGTAATATATTAGACATAGTCTATTTTTCAAAATAAATATTCGAAAGCCACAATGTGAGACTTGAACCCTGGAATGCCCATTAGAATACAGAAGGCAGACATTAAGACAACTCAATACTGTTGTCTTAGTTTTGGGACAAAAAATATGTCTAAGAAATATAGCCAAAATTGAAAGCAATTGCGAGGAAGAAGGGAACAAATTTTTACTAAGTAGTAATCACTGATTAAGAGGAAATTCTGTGTGAGGCGTTGTTGTAACCACGATTTAGAGCGAGATCGTCCAAAGGCCCAGAAACGTCGATGGTAAAGCGAGCTAGATGAATAATATCGGAGGGAACTTACGACACCTGGTGAAGTATCTTCGAGTAGGGATAATAAAACGCTTAATGTTGGAAGATTTATACATGTATTATATAGCGGAGTTAGGAAAATGTCACAATTTGTCACAAAAGGAAATTACCGAGATTTTTGATTGGTTAAGTTTAATTTTTCAAGTATTGTGATACCTGGCGAGGGAGTTAAGGTCATTACTGATCTGGCGTGGACAACCAGACCTAGCGTAGGTAAAACAATAATCTGCAAAAAAAAATCTGCTTAACATTGTAGGGAGGAACAGGGATTTCGGAAGTAGTATATCTAGCATTATGATTCGAATAGAAACACATAATTTTATAAATTAGTTATTATAAGGAGATATACCATATTTACTAAAATTAATTTTAGAAAAAAATAGACTCACTAGTTACAAATACATCATAAATACATCCTCGCAATATTTATATTTGACTTAGAAAATTTATGATAATATGTATCTCCAAACATCAGTTATCAATATTGATGTTCTCGATATAATAACATTAGTTGATGTTTTATTTATTTAGAAAACTATTTTGGGACAAAAATAAATTAATTGTGTGAAGTTAAACTTCTTTATCTGTTGCATCATAAAATAGTAATACGTATCATGTCCTGATGAAGATGCGAAATAAATTTCAAGAATTCGAAAAATTATGTATACAAAATAATTATATTGGATGATATAAAAAGTGTGCGTTTTTTGTCTCTAGATAATGTTGGTACCCATATATCTGGAACACTAATCCGATTATGTCAACCGAGCATGCGTTTAAAATGTGAGATTTGAGGCTACATTACTTTGTAAAGACAGTTATGTAATTCGTCACTCGTGTAAAAACTTATATTGATTTGAAAGTAACTGAAATATGTAAAAAATACTCTATATGATGCTTTATGATGCGAGAATATCAAAGGGAAACGATCATGATCAAAGGCTGGCGACTTCCACAAACGACTTCATGGATTAACGGCAAACAAGGTTATGTGGTTGGTAAGATTGGAAGGAAATTGTCTATTACGAACAGTCTTTAACTGCTCACAACACAACTGATTAAAAAACACAATCAACGAAAAGCGATCAGAATTAACCAACAGAAAAGAGTTTGTGCTTCATCCTGTTAATGACAGGCCACATACATCTTTGATATCTCAGAACAAATTGACGGAAATGAATTGAGAAATTTTTATGCGTCCACCGTATAGCCCAGATCTTGCACTGTCTAACTACCATTTCTTTCGGTCTCTGCAAAACATTCTTAATGATAAAAATTGGCAAACAGATAGTATCTGTTGCGAAAATTTTCGCTGTAATGGTACTGTGAAATCACGTATAAAAACACGCTTTGCTTTAATTTTTATCCATTTTTCCACAATTTTATTATTTACAAATTGAAAATGCACATTTAAAAAAACATATTGTTTACACACAATAAATATATGAAAAAAATTTTAATTTTAACTTTAAATTAACGACTTAATCACACCTTCTAAAAACGTAGGTATGTATGATCTTTGCGCATTGCATAAATTTGCTAAATTTATATAATTTACTAGTTACTTATTAAAATAATATAATGTAATGCTGTTTCTTATTTTTGTTAGTAGTAGATGATTTGACTGAAGACTAGCTGATACATTACTTCCAAGCCTGTTTTATCAACTTCCTTGAAGATAATTGACGTACCACTATGGAACCAACAATTAAAGCTACTAATACAGTCGTTATAAGTATGTAATCAAAATCATCTTTTAAAATATCAAAAGTCTTCGATGGTGTGATGCGTGTAACAAATATATCTGGAAATAATAATTAAATAACAATCATTATTATTATTTCTTTTTTAAATATAATATCAACATACCTAAACCTGTAGCAGCTACCAAGCAAGTACTCTCCAAACCACTTGGCGAAGTATAGATGGTATTCAAACGTGCTATGGTCTGATTATAATTGATCATATTTTCATTTGGTATTGGCAATTCAGGTATATATGGAATCGCACCCTCTTCACGTCCCTGAGTGGTAGATGATATTGGTCTGCGTGGATCTAATAATGCCCATGGCATTTCTACTATAGCACCACTAGATATACCGACTATCAAAATAGTTAATAGTTAGAATAGTTATCAATTCTTATAAATTATTTGAATGAATTTGAACTTACTCAATACATGTTTACTGGTAATGCCACGCTCAGTTATTGTTTCCTGCATCGCTTCCACTGTTGTAGGTAGAATATATGATTGTCGCTCCACCAATGGCATGAGTGGTGCATTAAGTGAACTCCACACACTACTATTAGCTTGAGTCTTGCCTTCGTAAAGTTCCATGGTAGCTGTGGAATAAAAAAAATTAAATAAAATATGTATGCTAGACGAGTTAAATCTAAAAAATATATATATACGGATTTGGTAATAACTTTTTGAAAATTAGCTTTAAAATTAAGTACCAAAGTTCAATTTCCTTTGAATATTTGGAATAAAAAACTCACTAAAACTAAGAACTTCATTAATTACTAATTTTTTATACTAAATATTAAAAATGTATATATTATAGTTATATATTTATAAAAACTTAAAAATAAGAGAAACGAATAATATTCGTATAGTATGTGATTAAAATCAACTTCCAAATGTAAGTTTGTATAAAACTACTTACTTATTTCAGTGCGTCGCACTTTGTCATTGTAATATGAATAGGCCAACCAGTTTTCTGAGTGTATGATATGCAATGGGCCGCGTACTTTACGATGTGTCAGTGAGAACACAACCGATCCAGATACAACATCAATCAGATATACATTTAAAATAACTGTGAGAAAAATCAATTTATTATCATTATCATTATCTGACGGGATAACATTTATAGCAAAAAGTATAATTACATTTATGTATACTGTCGGGTGCTTGTGTAACAACTGCTACCAAATTTGGATTTATGTATTTGTAGAGCACAGACCGATCGCCCAAAACACGTCCTTGTGAATGTACCCGTTCAATTGGATTTTTCGTAGCAACGGCTATGATTTTGTGATCATTATTATGACCACCCAAGCGAGCATTCCAAATAGTGGTGCTCTTTAGTATCTATTTAAAGTAAAGTGAAATTTATTATATTAATTTAATTTGATATTTTATATACATTGACATTTAATTATTTATTAAATAAATATGTATATTTAAAGCAGACAAGGATGACAAGTATCTATTTTTTATGTATACTGTGACTTCAAATATAGACTTTCACATGCAAGATTTAAGTCCTTATAATATTTTCTTTTCTTTTTACTAAACTTTTTAAGTACAAATGAAATTGTTGATCAATAAAAATGTTACCATAAGCATTAACAAACTCAGCGGTTCATTACACTTTTATTTTCATTCTTTCTATTTTTGTTATTATAGATTATATTCTACTGAGATTTTTACAGTTTAAGTTAAGATCAAGCAAGGCAGCTCCCACTTAAGCAGTGATCCGTGTCCAAAAAATATTGAAAACCGCGAAACAAAATAGACTTTTTTAACCCGAAAACCCAAAGCTAAGAAAACTTCCTTAATGAGTCTGAGAAGATTGGATAGAGAGAAAAAGAGAGATTGATGATTTCTCACTTTTTTCCATATTTTTTGGATCTTAATGTAACCAGTTTAGTACGTTTTGGTAATTTGAGTTCGACAGAACAACAAAATATATTGTAAAACCAAAATATATTGTTGTTGGTTAGAAGACTCTTTAATGAAATGCTCTAGGGCATAAAAAAGCATATTTCTGTGATAGTAGTTGTGTACTAGAGTGATATATAGCAAAACGATAACGACTGAATAATGATGACAATCCCAATTTTGATATTGAATATAATTATTTGTACATGTGAATATACAGAGCATGAAAATGCTTTAATGTCTACTTACACCTTGTTCGTATGTTATATAGTAACCCTTCAGGACTGCTGTATTCTTATCTGCTGTGAACATGTACATACCATGAGCCTGAAATTAAAGTTATATATATATAAGTATTATAAAATTATTTTTTCAATTTTTTTAATCTTTATATTTTTAAATATTTAATATTGGAAAATAACTGTTATTAACTGGTTATTTTTAAATATAAATTAGTCATAAATTATAATAAACAATCTGCAAAGCCTCATTAAACTCTCTCTAATTTTAAATCTTAATGTTATTACCTTATTTTTGACACTTTCGGGATAAACATATATTCCATCATCTGCAGAAATTGTTAGTATACCCTTAATGTAATCAGTTTCTGTTTCAGCTAATAAGCTTAACTGCTTTATTTTATAATCAAGTTTAAGTATGCCACCTTCTGCATGCTGACCAGTAATTGGATTAAAACGGAAAAGTAAACCATTGCCTGTATTCTATACAAAAAAAAAAAAATTCATGGTGGAATTAAAATCAAAGACCATTCATAACTATATTAACAAACCTTTTCTTTAGCCACAATAGTACATAATGGTTGTAAAGGAAAATGTTTCGAAGTACGTTGCACGAGTAAGCGCATTTTTTCCCCATTCTCAAAGTTGCCAACATTTGGTAAGAACTGCTGCCAATGATGTTTGCCACTAATATTATCAATTCCAAAAACTTTTCCACTCTTCGTCAACAGAACCAACATTTTGTGTAAGCCAAATGAATCACGTACTAAGCCTGCTTTTTGTGTGGCGCTTGGTGGTGGTGCCAAACCAATTACATGTAAAAAGATGCTCTTTATTTGTAAGATTTGTGTGGAAATTCGCAATAAGAAAGCGCTCAATATATCACCTGTGATTATACATTCCAAAATTTATTATTACTTATCATTTTCGATTAAAATAACACTTCAAAAATAATAAAGTAATATTTTAAAACACATGCAATTGTTTAAATTATAATATATAAGACTTATAAACACCGAAATGAATGCATACAAATACAAATACAAATAAATTTTAGTACATGCTTTGTTAAAATGATTGTTACACTCACTCTCAATTCCTTTTGAATCCTCTTTTATTGTTAATAAGTGAAAACAAATTTAAATAGATTAATAAGAAAGAATGTAGTGAAAAGCCCATTACCAAGAAATTACAAAAAGATTACTTACCAGATTTCCCTTTCAACTCATTTTCAAGTGTACCCTCTGTATCAGTCAATGGTAAGTCTATGAAATCTGCAGCTACCACATTTGCTAAGGCTTCTTCTCTCGACCAGCGTATTTTATTCTGCTGTACCGCTAAAATCATATCCGCACTTGTTTCCAAAATGTAAAGACAACTCTTGCCGTCATTCTGACGTTTCAGTTTGCAATCTAAAGTACTCAATATTGGGACGCCATAATTATGCTCGTATGGAACACGATTAGTTAATTCTTCAATTTTTTCGCAATTATCCGCATAGTTAACTTGAATGTTTAAGAACTACAAATCAATATATTTTAAATATTAAAATTATATATCTGTATATTGAAAGTATTTAAAAACTAACATTGTCCACAATATCAGCTTGAGCTATAACACGTCTCTTGTTGTAAGTGCCCACAGCATAACTATTGCTTACCAGGTCCTCACATATTTTCACTTCATCATTAACACTGTATAATTTTCTATCCACAACATAAACTCCATTCATTTCCTGAAAATAAAAAAGTTAATAATCAATATTTTTTAACAATCAAAACTTTTACAGTTATTTGCAATTACTTTCAAAGGTTGTATAGCACTAAATGGCTGAACAGGTAATGTTTTAGTTAAAACTTTAGGTTGTGCTGCTGTTAGATCAATACTAATTAACTTATCACCGCTAGTACAAGTGTAAAAAACACCACTACTTGTGCACTGCTCTTTAGTTATCCAAGCAGCACTAATTTTATTAGTAGTTCCTGTAGGATGTCCACTGGTAGCAAAATACTGTGTCACTTCCAAGTGACTGTTCCACACAGGCACAACATGGTATAATAAAGCCTTTTGATAAAACCAATAAGCAGTCTCTGCACGATCTGGTTGTAAAGGCATTAGAGACCATTCCCATTCAAGGTGTGCAGAGTTTGCGTTCCAGCCGCGTACTATTGCTGGTGCATGTCCTTGCACCGTTAACATATCGAAGCCATGATTAGAATTTGCACGTGCTGCAGCAGTATTACTACTGTCGCCACTAGCTGCAGTAACTTGTAGCAATTTTAAACTACCCCGTGGAAGTTTTTCAAGTACTTGCCGCCATAAAATCTCACCAGTTTTCGGACAAAGTGAGGCAACTACATTTTCACGTGTGGTAACCAATAAACGTGGTTGAAATGAATTTAAATCTAAGTGTGCAGATTCCAATGCACCTATATTGATGCTACGCCTGCATAAAAAATTAATATAAATTTAATTAATTCAATACGTGTACCTTAACCCCAACTTACCAGTCAAATTTCTTTATTTGATCCTCATAAAGTGCAGTGGTTAAATTGAGTAAAACAGCCGCAACTACAGCGACTAATAAGATGCACTTCATTGTCATTTTCGTTTTCTATACCTTTATTTATACTCTTGTTAATACAATTATTACAATATAACACCTAATTTAATTAAAGATTTTAAATTATTCACTTAATTTTAATTAGAACATGATGAACACGGCATTAGACGGGGTTGAAATGAAAATCATTTATGTCGTATGATTGTCAAAATTTTGTTATCTATTTATTTCTTTATACAAAACCCACATATAGATGGCAGTATAATCGCTTGAGATAAAAAAAATTAAGCAAAATTAAAATTAATTAGAATATTAAAATTATTAATTTAGATTGTGAGTTCAAATTTATAGTTGTATTTTTTATGCAATCTATTTTGTTATGGCAACAATAATGCCACAATAATGAAGAGTTTTAATAATTGAATTTTAATTTGTTAAAGATCATGCCGTGGCTGATGATGGGTAGAAAATAATTTAGCTTGGGTTTGTGATAACCGTTTACGTTTGTCATTTCAATGCTATTTTCAAAGTAATGTACTTAACTCGACAAATAGGCAGCAATATGTGACATTTTTATTTCAAAAACCTTATAAAAATATTCTAAAAAAGTTTGATAAGTCTAAGAATAAAAAAAGCGGGTTTCTTGTTCTTTTTAACGATATTAATTTGATGTCCCCAATTCCACGTCTCCGATAGTTATTATTATATTGTTGTTGTTGCAGTTTTATCGCATTATCCTCGATATGCTTTGTATCTGCGCAAACTTTGCTTATTTTACATTGGAGCATTGATTGACTCACAAAAATAAGAAAAAGGTAAAAATTATTCTATGAAATTTAAAAAAAATCCACAAATACTAAATGATAACAAATCTGCTGTTAATTTGATGGTATAACATTTACAAAGAGCGATATTACAATACATACCATATATAGCAGACTAGAAAAATATGTGGAGACATGACCAGTATAATGAATATGCTCATATGTAGCACCTCAGTGCATCGCATATCGTCATATGACGCCTCATAAGTGGGACTCAAATATAATTTATTCTGATGGAATCAACTGCAAATTGCCAGTTTTAGTGGGAATTGTTTGCTCACTAACTTCTGTTGAATAAAGATATTCTTATCACCATTTTCGACAATTTCGTTTGGCATAATTTGGGAATTTAAGGAATAATAAAGTTTCTTTAAAAACGAAATTAAATCACGCGGGTTTAATTTATATATTATCTATATGCGATATGAATATGAATTCACATATGACCTGGTTGTTTTTTCTATACAATTACTTTTCTCGAAAATGTAATTTTTGCAGGATATAGTTTATATATTAATATGTGGAATATATATATGAAATAGCCTTCTTCATGCATTTCGTTTGGTGATCATAACTTTTTTTGCGTTTTAGACTTATAATGGTAGTTCAAAATATATGGTGTATTTTGATTATAATAAAAGTGATAGAAATTTTTACACAATAAATAAATCATTTTTAACGTTTATCAACACTGTTTCATATGTCAGTAATATTCTTAAAATTTCATTAAAAGTCGTAAACAAAAATTTCTGGAAGTGATTTTATTCGAAAATGATTGAGAAAAAGTTTGATAAAAACAAGAGTGAAAAACCACGAGATGATGGCGTTGAACTTGAAAATCAATTTATTTTAAGATTGCCAGAGGTAATAAATAATAAAATTTTAATGTAGTTAGTAATCCTAGTAGTTGGTGTGTAATATCGGTATCTCAGCTTCAAGATTCAGACTACAGATACGAAATAGGTCTGCAGTGTATTGTGCGTAAATAATGATACTATTTTTGTGGATTTGCAATTTAATGATTTTTTGGTCTGTATCAACAGTTTCTTTTAATTAGACTGCCGATCTTAATATCTTGTTATAATACAAACCCCGGTCTGTTGCTTTCTAATTTCATACTGATTTATCAGTTGTGAAGATAATTTCAAATGTTTTGTCTTCTTGTTATTTCAAATCATCCACGATTTGTGCTAAATATATATTACATCATAAAACACTTACATATTATTAAAAAAACTTTTGTATAAAGAAGAACCACATCTAACTCACAAAATATTTTAAAATGTATTCTATACTCTTCATGTATGTAATTGCATTTAATTCTACTATTTCTATTTAAAATGTCGAAGAGGTGGGGCGAACAGCAATTGCCCGTCATATTAGAAAAATAGTCCCGGTATACAAGATACTAAATGCAGACTTCATTATCAAAAACTAAAACGCTATTATGTCAAATATCAAGCAACAATTTAGACCCTAGACTCATCTATCTCAATTTCTTGATTAATGAAACAGAGTAATGAGATCCTAACCATTCCATACTAGAGAATGGAACAGTGTTTCCTAATCTGATTCAGTTGTGAATCAGAATATGATGACAAATAAATACCCGGTGGTATAAGAAAAAATAATCTTGTATGCGAGAAGACTTGCAGAATTAACTTAATAAACGAAAAATTAACTTAAAATACAGTTAAATAAATATATAGAAAAAGTGTTCAATAATAAATAATAGTAGGTCTTTTTGGCTAACATATAATTTTAAGGAAACCTTATTGCCGGTAAATAAATAATGCTTCTGAACTAATAGTAGTCATTACTTGTTTTTGGTCTCTGGAGGTAAAAACGACTACAATGGGAATCCGTCAGAATATTTACCGTCCCAGTCGCAACCCTAAAAAAAAAACTATTTTCGTTTTCTTCTGAGAGGATGGAACAGAAGGATAATGGCTTTTTGACAGCAGATAGCTTTAATGAGAATTCATTAGAATATTTACAGTTATAGTCCCGACCAGACAAAAGAAAGGCAATTGTTTTATTTTTTTAAGACATAATTATCCCCTTTACCTAAACGGTTTTTCAATAATGCTAGATATATAGCGAAAATAAACATTAATGAATTTTGGACTGGATCTGAACGACTTGTCTTACACAGCCAAATAATCAATTGGATATTAGAAGGGAACAACAAAATAGTGTGAAAGCACTTGTTAAATTCATGGAGTCAACACTTCAACCAACCAATGTAGGATGTACCAAAAGTTTTATTTACCGCCGTTAAGCAGACATTAAAAAAGAAAAACTATTCTCCACCGTAAAAGGATATTATAAGGTTTTCATCCTATTTTGTAGAGTGAGACAAAATATTATTAGTTTCTTGTTTTTATTTAATTAAATTTTTGGCTGACTATACAGCTGCTTCGAGTATTGCCAAATACCCATTATCAATAGTCTTTGAAAATTTTTCTTGTATTTATTAATACGTAAATAATTTTTTGAGACCTCGCTAAGAGTTGAGTTTGTATCTTGCCAACTGTGTTCATTAGCCAACTGACCCAAAGCGGTACTTGACTTGTATGTTCGAACTTAAAGTTTTGTTCATTTGCTGTTTGAAATTTCATTGGTAATTTTACCTGCTGTGTTTTATTAGAACGAAATCATAAACCAGCTGTAGAATAATTAAATTAATTATAGTTATTTTTATTTGTTAAGTTTTATTACTATTCTTTTGTAGAGGCAAGTTTTGCTATTGCATGTTTTTATATTATTATTTCTTGTGCATAGAACATAATCTAGAAACGTAATACGAAGAAAGTGGTGCCAATGTCACTCTACGATTCGTACAAACGAGACTGAAAATTGAATATATTTTTTTATGTTTATATCCATTATAATTCTATATTAAATTTGATTTCAAAATAAGTTACAACAAGAGTGATTATTTTACTTAATAGAAAGATTTCGAACAGTAGTTGCAATTGACTGCTTTTCGGAACCTTCCTATTACATTCAATACTTCGAGCAGTAGTGATTTGCAACTACTACTGTTCGGAACCTTTCTATTAAATGCAATAGTTTCTTTTAAAAAATAGTCACTGTCGTCACAACTGACGTGAAAATTAAACTTAATTTGTTCCAATGCTAAAAAATAAACTTTAATCTAACTTTCTCGTAATTAATAGTAAATTTGTAATAGTAAATTTTTCCCAATTTATTCTTTTGTTTTGAACTTATAACGGCCTGAATTGAAAAAAATTCTCTTATACGTTTAAGCACAAAAGTTCATCTGATATTCTTTTTGTTTTTGGGAATCAATTTTTAGGGTAATAAAGTAGGTGTAAATTGCTCAGAGCCTTTTTTATTTTAAGTTCACCAATTAATGCAATAAATAAATTTGTATTTTCATTACAGGAACCTGCAAAAGCCTTGATTGAGGCACTCCAAAATGGTAATCTTAAAGATCGTATGACGATCAAGATGGACAATGACTTACGTTATGGCGAAGTAACTTTTGATCAATGGCACTTGCATTCAAAAGTTGTAGACCTACCAACTGTACTTGAATGTCTTAAAACTATTGACAATAAAAGCTTCTATAAAACAGCAGATATATGCCAAATGGTAAGCTATTATAGTTTTAAGTTTGAATCAGTGACTTTAAATAACAATTATATGTAAATTAAAATTTTTATCTTAGATGATTTGTAAGGAGGAACCGGATGCTTTAGATTCCGAAAAAGAATCACCAAATAAAGCAAAAAAGAAGGATCCAAACAAGGTTGACAAAAAGTATTTATGGCCACATGGTATAACACCACCATGCAAAAATATACGTAAACGCCGCTTCCGTAAAACTCTGAAAAAGAAAAATGTGGAAGCACCAGAAATTGAAAAGGAAGTGAAACATTTACTACGCATTGATAATGATGCAGTTAAAGTAGAATACGAGATAATTAACGAAGAACTTGATAAACCAGCATTAGATCAAAGCTCGAAAGAATATAATGAGGGCGAAGAAGAATTTAATGATACACTCAACGACGGTGAAAAAACACTTAATGATTCGGCGACACAGAAGAATATAAATGTAGAATCAGACGATGATGATGTGCCTTCTAGTAGTGCAGCAATTGGCGGAGTTGGTGAACATGATATTTTTGGAGAAGAACTTTCATCTTCTGAAGATGAAGAACGCAATGTTGAAATGGAATATAGTTCACGTTTATCAGCAGACGATACGCATACGTCAGACTTTTCAGCTAGTGTTGGTGGTGCTGGCACAATAGTTGCTGACAGCTCAAGCAATTCCAAACAACAACCAACTGAATTTAATAGAAGCATGTTTGGAGGAAGTCCAAAACCTAATTTAGTTGACATGAGTAGCAAATTTGATGGCTCTAGTTCTAATTTAGCTGCTCCAAGTGGTTATTATGAGGAACAGAAACGTAACGATTATGATGATGACTTTTCAAATGATATACCACAAATCGAAACTCATCAAATACGACGCAAAATCAATGAGTTACAAGGACAAATCAATGACTTGAAGATGTTGAAGGCTCAAAAATCTCAAGAAATCGCTGCGATACAAAATCAAACTCTAAAGCAACGCATGAGTGAAACAGTTGAGAATTTATTGAGCCAAATTATCGAAAAGGAAATGCAAATTAAAAGTTTTGAAAAGATGTTGGAAAATAATTAGTAATTATTTTTATTGATTTATATAGTAAAATATACTTAAATTTATAATTTAAAGAAAATTTTTTTTTTATATAAATATTGTAAAGCATATATATATATGTTTGCAAAATAAACTATTGTAATACAAAACATTTTTGTATATTCATTCTGATTCTTAAAGCACTAAATGTTGTCATTAATTTTCTGTAGTATTTATTTTAGAAATATACAAGAATTTTTTAACAATAGAGTAGAAGTTGTATGGTCCACTTATGGGGAATTTATGATGTTTCATGAAGCTTTATTATTTTACTGTGCTATAATAATTAATAATTAATAGATAATCAATACAGATCTAATTTTAATATATTATTGAGATTGTGATTAATTAGAATCAATGCTGAACTTGTACTTTTTGTGTTATGGAATACTCTTGCAGTGTATCTAGATTAATAGTCTCTGTTTAAATGCATTTCAATTAGAATTTATAATCAAATATATAGTATAGTAATAATATAATAATAATAGATAGGTTAAAACAATTAATGGTTTTGCTACTTCTTACAGTAGGATACTTAATTAAAAGCTGTTGTTTTCATCGAAGCTTCCTCTTAATTGCAAAATTTTATTTTGCAACAAGTGCAAAATTACATCTCGAATAAATTTGCAATTTTATTATAATGAAATTATAAAATTGCAACTTAATTATTACTTTTGTTAAATATAATTAACTACAAAATATTTTGCGCTACTTTCAAAATGCAATTGTTTCAACACATAATAAAGTTGACCGCTTCACCAACTTAATTCATCTGGCAATGAAACTGGATATTGTCCGGTTAGGCAAGCTGTACAGTAACCAGTTTTGCTTGGATTCAATGCTTGTCGGTTCAGTTTTACTGCTTTAACTAAGCCCTCTACACTTAGATAAGCCAAACTGTCAGCGCCTACGTGCCTAGCTAGTTGTTCTGCATTTAATTTACTTGCTATGAGCTCCTCCCGCGTTGGTATGTTTATGCCCATATAGCAAGGATATTGTAAGGGAGGGCTTGCAATTCTGATGTGTACTTCTAACGCCCCAGCATCACGTAATAATCGTATAATAGGTCCAATCGTATTACCTCGAACTATTGAGTCATCAATAAGCACTAAACGTTTTCCAGCAACATTTTCAGAGAGTGCACCGAACTTTTTGGCTACACCCAACTGCCGTAGGCGTGTTGAAGGTTGTATAAATGTACGCCCAACATAACGATTCTTACACAAAACTTCTGCAAAATGTAAACCTGATTCTCTTGCATAACCGTGTGCTGCGGCTGTGCCCGATTCAGGCACAGAACTTACTATATCAGCCCGCACCGGTGCCTCTCTAGCTAATTCACGTCCACATTGCATACGTACAGTGTAAACCATTTGTCCTTCGAATATAGAATCTCCGCGTGCAAAATACACATATTCAAAGATACAAAAAGCAATCTTTTTGTGATCTGGCCTTTCAACTATGTCGATAGTACGAAAGCCATTTCGAGTGAGCTCTACAATTTCTCCAGGTTCTACTTCGCGCACATACCGTGCACCAATTGACAGAAAACCACAGCTTTCGCTGGACACCACCCAACCATCAGCTGGTGCGTCTTCCTTATTCAATTCGCCTATATTCAATGGCACGATCTTACCCAAACATAAAGGCCGATTACCATAAGTATCACGCGCTGCATAAATTTTATCTTTTAGCATTATCACCAACGAATATGAGAGCGGTGCTAGTTGCATAAAGTGCCTTATACGTGCTGGCCAGTCCGGCCCATCAGCCTCCGATACACCCTCAGGTGTACAACATAATGACTGGGTTATTAACTCACTATCACTAACGGTAGAGAGACCCACACCGCGACCTAATACTTCACGACGTAATGATTCACAATTTAGTAACTCACCATTATGTGCAACAGCCATTGCTCCATGCAAGGTGTGCACCACAAACGGCTGACAATTAACAACTTCTGAAGCGGCAGATGTCGAATAGCGTGTGTGACCTATACCAAGGTTACCTTTTAATTTTTTCATTGAATCATCACTGAAAACATTGCTTATCATGCCCATCCCTTTGTGTACATTGAAGTTTCTTGAAGACTTGCCCTCGCTGGTAACAATACCTGCAGACTCTTGTCCTCGATGTTGTAAGGCCACTAAACCCAGACAGATTACATGTGCAATATCAATTTGCGTAGGCCAATCGCCACAAGCAATTGCACCGAAAACACCGCACTCATGCGTTAAGCCAGTTAAGGCCTCTGGCTTTTCAAGGTCTGCAACAGACAATTGTTGTTCTGTGGGCGATGGCGCAATTTGTCTGTCAACATTTTCTTCAACATTTTCACTGCAGTCAGTGTTAGAATCATTTGCGTTATTTTCATCTAAACTCAATTCATCAAGATTTAAGTTTGCTGCAGCCATTGTACTGATCTGCTATGATTTTCCAACAATAAAATATTTGCAAATTATGCCAACATTTAATTAAAACTCACTTCGATTTACGCAACTGCCTTTCTGGTCTTTTTATAGCAAACAGCCCGCGCGTGCGATCTCACCCAAGCAGTGGTTGCGAACCCAATAACAACACTGAGCGGTGTGCTCGTGCTGTAGCGATGATAGTTTAGCTAATTACTGACAGCAAGATCGGCATATCGATAAGTCATCGCCCCATACAAACACAATTTCAAAAAATGTTAGTGATTAATTAAATATAAAATCTAAGTGTGGTTTGTGTCATTTTTGTTTAAAAAATTTTATTGAATTTTGTTTTTTTCTATTATTATTTATTGATATTATTATATTCCATTTGATTTTATCGTCACTTATGACGGCAGTGACTATTTTACTTCATAAAAACTATTGTAATTAATAGATTTCTGGAAATAATGTATCTCTATTAATGTCATTACTAATTTTATTATATATTAATATTATTATTTATGCTTCTTTTAAAATTATTAGCTGTATAAATGTGAGTTTCATATTATTTGAAATATTCAAATAATAAAGCTTCGAACATTTTGAACATTTAAAGTATGATGTTTGTGCTCGAATACAGCAAGCCGCTTAAACGTATGGAACAGCATATTGTGTTTGAGCATTTGTTTGAACAAAGCATAATAGTTTCGAACATGTTCGATCCAAATGTTTGAGTTCGAATTGAGTATATTCAAACAACATAATGGTGGAAAACTTTATTATAGAGCAGAACCCCACTAATCCAAATCCATTCAAATTGGGAGCCAAAACGGATTTTGAGAACCTTATGAATATAAACTCTAATATATTTATTTTAACAACGGTAACTAAATAAAAACAGAAAAATAATTCACACTTGATAAACTAACCCAAATGATAAAAAGCGAAATAAATTGTATAAGCAAATATCAAACATAGTATATAGGTATGCACATAACCTATAAATGTGTCTGATTTCACTAAACTATCGCGAAGAGATGTTTACAACATGACATCCGGATTAGTGAATCAATGATCGATCTGGATTATACAAGGCACATAATAAATATATTGCATATTGTATTTTTAATTTGTTTAGATAACGATAAAATCTGAACTGCCGGAAATTTGGACTAGCGGGGAGCAGATGTATATAAATATTTATATTCAAATAAAAAGCTTGAAGACACGATTAGGAAACATATATCTCTGTAATATTTAATATAAAAGTTTAGATGTTATTTAAATAGTTTATGATCCATAAATAAAATATTATAATTATATGTATATCTTTTGAAAAATATTTAAAAATTATATAAAATAATTTTAACGTAGTGAAATATAGCACTGACTTCAGGTTTGAATTTTTACAATATTAAGTATAATATAATAAGTATATAATATTAAGTATATATATAATATATATTTATAATTAAGTTTTCAATTAATGACTATGGAATATATTTATACACACAAGCACCTAAATAAAAAAGATATCTAAATAATTTATATAATTAAAAATTTTGAAAAATTTAATTAAAATATAAAAAAAAATAAAATAAATAATAAAGTATATGCCCGTTCCAAATATTAATAATTATATGTATTGTTATTTTCTTCGTATATACATTATTATTATTATATAATATAATCATTTACTTCTTAAACAACAAGTCAAGAGGATTATAATGCACTAGTACAGAAAGAACTATATTTTGTAACATTATGTATTGCCTATAAAGTAATGATGAAAGTTTACGGTAATAATCAGTTCCCATTTAAAGTAAAAATTATGCAGTCCCCTCTAGAAGATATGACAGTATGAATATTTATAGAAGGTAGACTACAAAGAATACGATAACAGTTTGAACGCATATTAGAACCACCACACTTAACTGTGAAGAAAATGATATAAACAATATGGATATGATTTGGAATATAATTATCAAAACAAAATATTGGTGTTAAAGTTGCTTTAATCAACAGCTAATTACCTTTTGTCATTCATATGTATGTTAATCAAATCAGTATGATACTTTTATATATTGTTGTGCTATATATTATAACAAGTCATCTATAGTTCTTATTGGATGGATGCAATGACTGAAACATTTTCTTTTTGTAATAATGTAAAATTCATGATTATACTTTCCTAAAGTAGAAACTTAATTTAAATCTTTATAATTATTAATATGAATTACTCTTTTTAACATGAAGCTTTCAACAAATTCACATCCATTTTCTTAATCATTAATACCTCATTTGGTCTCAACAGTATTGTTTTGGTGGAATTACGGAATTATTAATTATACAAGAAGTATATTAATTAAATATATAAAATATACATTTGAGCATACAAATCACTCTCTAATACCTGCTTTTGATAAGATACATCATTGCAGACCTATTCATTAAATCCGTCATCCACTTGCATCAAATTTTAACTTAAACGTAGAGTCCTCTCTATAAACTAACACTATAAGTGTAAATAACGATTAATTTTATTCATTTATATATACATATAGGCGTATTACAAAAAACATTCACATAATTTTCTGTATGCCATATTTAAGTCCGATACTTGTACAATCATATTGTCAACTTTACATTCGGAAATAATACTGTAATTTAATATTATCATAAAAGCCCAATAGAACTTTTTGACTATCTTAAAAATTGATTACACCTAGTATAAAAAATACTGAATAATATTTTTCTAAACATTAACAAACAAAAATGCTGACCCAATCCATTAAACTCGGACTGGAACCACATGAAAGACACATTAAAGATTACTTGAAATTGTATACATGCCCCTATATTGTAATTTGTAATGCATTTGAAAGTAGAGTTAGGATACTCGTTTGTTAACTTATAGTTATAATCAGGGTCTCAAACCGCAACCGAACCAAAAAAAACAACGAACGAAAAGCGGAACCGAACCAATATACATCGGATTTCGAACCGGAAACGAACCAAAAACCTAAAAAAACCGATATTTTTGCAGGAACGGAAACCGATATATTTTTTTTCTTTTAAACCGGAACGGAAAAAACTCCTGTTCGAAGCCCTGGTTATAATCTTATTAGAAGTTGTCAAAAATGTGACGATTAACATATAGTAAAAAAATTTATAAAATTGTGTTAGACCATAATTTTTTAAAATATAATAGTAATAGAGAGAGAGGGCTTGATTGTTACATATAACTCCTCATTTGAAAGGCAAGTTTAATGAAAGATAATATCACAATCGCATAAAGCTTAGTTTTCTTCGTTAATTTATAGATTTTAGACGATTACCTATATCAAACAGAACTGATTTAGCTAAAGTTCTAAGATTTTTGAATGTAATATCGAGAAATGCTTGCAAGATTCGAAACTTTGATGTTCTAACAAAAGTTAGAATATAAATGAAAACCAAAACTAAAACTTTTTCACGTTAATAATAGACAAAAACCATTACTATTATTATTTATCACAATCAACAACTTTACCAAAAAGTCCTAACTCAGCCGCGCAAGATATAATGCTCTTTATAGTTATTGGATGAATTCCAACATTCAGTCTTTATAACATGGCACAGTTTTTGCAATTAACATACATTTGAATAATTAACATAATGAATGGTTAATCGATATCTTCTTTTCCAAACTTATTTAAACAATTGGTTAAAATAAATATTTATATTGCAATATAATTTTTTAAACATTAACGATAAAATATATATTTAACATCTTATACATACATATATCATTATATTTTATGTGCATACATTAAGCATAATTGATTCGAATGTACATTTTGTTCATTACAGTGTATATGTGTAAATTAAAACAATTTAAAGAAATTGTTAAATAAAAAGTATATTATGTTAGTATTTCTTAATATTTTTAGTGTTTATTTATAAAACCAAAAAAAAAATGATTATATCGAAAATTAAGTACATATCAGATATGTATTGCAAGATCAAAATACTTTTCTAGATATATCTTCGTAAAATAAACACTTAAGTTTGCAAAATTGTACTACGAAAAAAAAAAAAAATAACTATACTTACTGTAAAATTATTGTAGTAAAATTAAGCAAATAAAAAAAATCAAATCACGTAAAATAAATAAAATAGCTGTAAAGGAGCTAGGTGTTCTGAACATAAACATTAGGAACCATTAGACTCTGTATGACCATTTGAAAGATGTTTTTTATCATCACCGTTGGTTGCATTGGCTTTGAAATAACTTGAATCTTTTAAACTCATATTTTCTTCACTGCACTCCAATAACTCATTAGCTTCTTTTATATCATTTTGTATGGCTGCTATTAAGTCTTCAATCGATTTAAAATTGGACTCCGGCCTTAAGTAACCAACTATACATACTTTAAGCATGCGGTCATATAAATCACAATTGAAATCATGTAATATATGTGTTTCCTGGAAATAACAAAGGATATATGTATAATTATTCTAAAAAAAATATATGTAGTTATTATATGTACATATGGAGAGAGCAATACGTATAGTGAAAGTTTATATGTGACCTTCATTTATACATAATCTATTAATACGCGTAATATAAATATTCTGATAAGAAAAGATAATATTTATGACGTTTGGACTTTTAAAAATTGTCAAATCATTATAAAACAAATCAAAATCAAAGTTAATATTGAAATACACGACATTCTTCAGATAAAAATATTGTTTATAATCATAAATTACATTGTTCATATATATATTAATTCTTTTATTAATTTGATTATATTAAAAGAAGAGTAAAACATATACTAAATTGAGAATTAAATTAATTTTATAAAATTTATTGTTAAATTTCTTTTTATTATTATTGGTCACATTCATGTGTATATATCTACGAAGTTATTGTTGAAGTGGTAACATGTGGAGATCTATATAGCAGATAACGTGAAAAGAATTACAAATAAATATACAAGAGTTATATATATACATTATACACAGAAGTTAGAAACGGGAAAGGATTGTTTGGGAACAAGAGTGGTTTGAGAAAGGATGGGATTTTAATTGAAGCTAACCTATGTGAAGGCATAGAAACCTAAATACTTAAACAACGAAATCAAAATACTGACGAAAAACATTTTAAAATAAAATGAAATACGTTGAGTACAGTAAAAGTACATTATTTATAAATAATAATTGAAAATAATTTTTAATTTTTAAATAAAATATTTTATTAAGGAAAAATCGTAAATTCAATACAAGTCCTCAGTCCCTAAAATTGTAGCTATGACATAGTTTGATGCCTCACAAGTTCTTGAATATAGACTATTGCGTCAAGAGTGAAAACTTTCAAATCTAGTTGATTTTGAAACAAACATTAATGTATATATAAATATAGAGATCTCACATCTATCCCGAGGTTTGCAGTTTAGGATGCATCATCATTCATTTATTCATCATATAAACCGATTTCCAGCCAATTTTCTCGGTTTCAAGTTTTATAGAAAGTTTAATATTGATATATTTGGAAAAATTAAAAAAATGTGAAATATATGTTCATTTTTGTTTATATATATATTCAAATCTTTAGATTAAACATAAAGGAGCCAAAGAAAAACCAATGAAATGTACAGTTCGTCGATGTTTAGTTTCAAATATTCAAATTAGATATTTAGCATATTATAATAGTAAATGATATTATTTGATGTTATTAATTATATTATTGAATATTTGATATTAAAAAAAATAGAAATATTATTCTATATTTTAAGAAAGTGAATTAGTTTTAAATTGAATTTTGTAAATTCATCGAAGCTTGTAAAAGGGATTTGCAAACCAAAGATGCGGAACCAAAAATATTTAATTGTAAAGATAAACACATCAATCGCTATCTGCTATATGCACACTAATTCGACTTTGCACAGAAATGGATATGTGATGACAGAGAAAGATCAATAAAAGAGTAAGATCAAAATCATCTAAATTTTTAGATGAATAAATAATGATAAAATATATATAGTTATGTTTTCCCTCATTCGATTTCTTATACAAAAGCTACCTTTTTCCTTAGCCGTTTTTAACAAATTACCATAACTAAATACATAACTATACAAAACTAAAAATGGACTTAATAATACAAAAGCATTTAAAGAAAAAGTATACAACTATATATGTAAAATGATTCAGGATCAGGAAAAATTTAGATAGACTCAACAAATAGTAAATATAAAATATATGAAAATAATTTATATAAATAAGGAAATTAAAACTTAACATTGACTAGATTAATATTCTAATAATTTTAGTATTTAAAAAATTTATTAATTACAATTAAAATGATAAACAAGCTAGCGGATGTCGACTTAATGAAAAAAAAAAATAATAATAAATATAAAATCCAAAACTTACTATATAAGAGCATATATATATCTTCTATTGTATAAGCATTAAAAATTTTTAAAACCCCATGACAACCCTAAAAATATGAATTTATAAATATATATGTAAATAATAATTGAACTCAACAGATTTAAATCTCTTTATCTCATTCATTATTTATTAAAGATAAGCTGTTTTACGGAAAAAAAGAATTTCTAATTATTTTTCATTACTCACAAGATACTTGAAACTTAGTTTTAGTCATATTCAGATAGATATTAATCATCTATAATATACGTTACGTTAAAATAATCAATCAAAAACAGTTGTGTATACTTTTCAAATTAAAACATACATATAACACTATCTCCAAATCTGTAGCAATTTGATAAAATATAATATGCATTTTATGTACATATTATATTTATTTTAAATAAGTACAAAAGTTAAACTGATAGCATCAGCAGGAAATGATTGCAACCACATTCCTGTGCAACCCAATGAACTTCAAATCAATCTGAATGTTCAAATTTCATATTAATTTCAGTAATTACACAATAGTTTTCTTTATTACGTCGACCACAATTAAGGTCGCTAGGCATGTGATAAATGCAATTATATACACTTAAAACATTTAATTAATTGACTATATCATTAATTGAAACCTAATTTATGGAAGCTTAACTTACCATACTCCTTTCCTTGTTGTCATAGTACGGATTCCAACCTATACTCATTACCATTTTATAAACCTCTCCGTTATCTACGTTAGCCCAACCATAATAAATGCCGTTCTGACAACTTGTAGGCAAAGATTTTACAACTTCGAGGGGATAATTTGCTAAAAATAAATTACATTTAATTTTATTTTAAATGATAAAATGGTAAAAATATAATGTAATCGTTACCTGTGGGTATGCCCAACTCTTTCGAACCACGTCCAAAGCCACGTATTATTCTACCGCATGCAAAAAATGGCAACGCACAAAGTAGCATCTTCATGTATAATAAAAGTGGTTTGCACACTGTGCACGGTAATTATACAAAACCAACTGTTATATACACCATGTAAATATGCTTGTGTATAAAATTTCAATTTAATTGATTTGTGTGACTGAACTTATGTCAGCAAACAGATGTTTTGCCTTGCGTTGAGAGTTCCCTTGCAACTTAAAAAAATAGTATTTACTTTTGTTTAACTAAAAATGTAGCAAAATTATAGCATATTATAACTTATAATTAGAATAAGTATTTTAAGAGTGAAATTAACATTATTTATAACAATAAAAAATAATTTCACTAGTTTTTCATGACATACTATTATTATTAATAATACATACAAAATATTTTTATGAGTGCATAATTGTGCTATAAAAATTCGAGTAAAGTAAATATTTTTATCAATATTATTAATATCAATATTTATAATATAATATAGCAATAATCGATATCGGAATCGATATTAGATTAATACATTTATGGCCATCGAAATCAAAAGAAATTTACAAATATCTATCTATTATCGCCTACTTTAAATATTCTATTCTATTAATTAGTTGAATTTTCCTTTAAGGGGTATTCAAGATGTCTGTGCATCGTTGCATGTGCAAATTTATTTGATTTTACAAAAACAATTCGTTTTCTTATAATTCTGCACTTGATTTGCAAGACAATATTCAAGACCATATTTTCAACACCAATTACCTCTTGCATATTTGATTTTCAGACTCTATTGTGAATGATACTACTTTTTTTACTGTTCGCTGGGCAATACTTCAGCGAAACCGTTAAGTTTGTTTTGATTTTATTTTGTAATTTAATGATTTTGTGCAATTGTTTTTTATTTACTTTACGTGCATCAATGTCAGACAATGTCAATGTATTCTGTTTTTCACTTGTTCTTTGCATTTGTTGAAATTATGCATATCAAATCTGAGTTATGTTTTACAAGCAAATAAATACGTAAACAAAAATCAGCTGTTCTAAATATTTTCAAGACTAATATGCACAAAGTGTGTTCACGATTATTTGAGTTTGCAATGATGCACATACATGCTGAATACCCGTATAATGTTTCATTTGTTGATAATTTACCTTTTAAAGCAATACTTTTTTAAACAACGCTGCGTAATTTCCTGTACTCTCGCTGTCGCACCAGTTAAACTCGTAATTAAGTGCAATGAATTTGATTTGTTTGTGTTGAGTTGTTTTTAATGTTTTGTTGCAGATCATTGAGTTAAAATTTTTTTTTGTTTTTCTTGTGGTTTTATATCTCTAAATGCGTTGAAATTAAATTAAATTATTTTATGAGTCATTTTATATTAAATTCCAAAATTTTATTGCTATAATTGTTCAAATGTCAAATTCATTGGTCAGCAGCAGCAGCAGCAGTGGACATGGTAGGGAGAATATGTACATTTATGAACTGCCACCATCGCAGCGACAACTTCTGTGCGACCATTTGGATGAGTTAAATGTTTGGAACCAACTCGCCACAGCCGTAAGTCTTAAAACGGCTGAAATGCAGGTAAATAAATATATAAATTAAGAGCAATATAGTTGGTTTTTTCTGTAATTATATTTTATATTTATAGAGCATACGTCGTCAACAAACACTGGGAAATTCCCCTATTGATGAATTTCTCAAAATTTGGGGGGGACAATATAATCATACAGTAACTGAACTCTTCGTTATCTTAAAGAGGTATGACGAGTTAAATATGTATGTATGTATATATATACTCACAAAACACATAAAGTAATTTCTTAAGAAATTATTCAAATACACATAAGTATATAGACAATATACTTATAAAAGAGGAATATCTAGTTTAATTAAAATTTTGTAAAACAAATTCCTCTGAATATTGTAATAATTGTTTGAAGCTCTGTTATTATTGTTAAAACATATTGGTCGTTATAAAATACAATACATTTGTCAGATCCACAGTACGATTTGGGGTGAAACCCAAAAATACATTTCAATATTTTTTACATAAAAAGAAAATTTAAACTTTTATTATTAATATATTAATATAATATTTAATATATTAATATATTATTGTTATTTAATTATTAATATATTATTAATATAATATTAATTTTATATCAAACATACACAGTCATAAATTAAGTACTTTATTCACTTAAATTGAATGTGTAGATTTCGTAGAAATTAGAATTTAAGATGAATAAGACCTGAGAATTATATTTACTGTATATATGTGTACAGTAAACTCTCAATAATTCTGAAATTGAATCATCCAAACATCGCAGTAGTTCGGACAAATTTTCTTTGTAATCTCTATAATCCGGGTAAAGCAAGAAAATAGTACCTCAATAATCTGAACACAAATTTTTCAGACTTCTTTCTTATTTCCTATTTATTTTATACGTTTAAACATTTTTATACATCAATATTATATACATTTTTACAAATTTTTTCCCACATTAGTCATTATTATATCCGCTTTATATATATATTTTTTGGTCAGGTTTAAGTTTCGCTAAAATGATATATAGATAGCGAGATGAAATTGTTCGAGGCGACTTGGGTCTTCAGACCATCAAATACCGATTACCTCTATCAACACACACTCAAAACATCATTAAGAAATTGAAGCTGATAGCATTGTATATTTTTTTTAAATAGAATTTATACAATATACTAAATTAGATGCTATGACGTGTGTAGCAATATATATATTTATTATACATATATATTTAAATAAAGTATTATAATCAATTTTAGGTTTTTTGGAGCAATTTAATCTAAATAAAATAAACGTTATAGCAAATAATTAAATTTTGGAAATATTAGTGAATTCTTAGCAGAAAAGTTTTTTAGTATAAAAAGTAACACGAAGTTTTTAATATAATATTAATGATTGTTTGATAGACTACTACAGACTGTAGTTACTTAAATGTATATAAAAATATTAAATGAATCGATTTTTTTCTCTTTACTGTATCATTGTATTTTGTATTTTGGTTTTTTATTATTATTAATATGTATAAAACTCTCATAATTTGTATTTATAAATGTTTGAATTTTTTAGACAAAAGCTTTTTCAAGCTATGCGTTTACTAAAGGATTTTGTGGAGCGAAAATATCATATACTGATACCTAACAGCCAACCTGTTTTAAGCGTGCTTATGGCACAAGATAGAACAAATTCAAATGATCATTCCAAAAAGATTCTCAACTGCAGTAGTTCCTCAGGTGTAAGCAACTCGAATAACTTAGAAACAAGTGATAACAATAATAGCACATCTGCCTACTCAACTTCAAATGGACATCTCGAGCAACAAGAGCAACAACAATCAAATTATTTAAGCGAGCGTAATGTTAAGGAGTATGCCAGTTCCATACTAGAGATCAACTATCATGAACTTACGGAAGCCACAAATAATTGGAGCGAACAATTCATTCTGGGTAAAGGCGGTTTTGGTACTGTATTTCGCGGTTATTGGAAACACACAGATGTTGCTATAAAATTAATACATTACCGAGGTTCCAATGAACGTGAAAATGTTAAAGTGCAAATTCAACAGAGTCTCAATGAATTAAAATATTTAAATTCGTGTCGTCATGATAATGTTTTGCCATTGTATGGCTATAGCATAAAAGGCGAAAAACCTTGTTTAGTATATCAACTTATGAAAGGGGGTTCATTGGAACAACGCTTAAATTCGAAAAAGATTACACCACTCAATTGGCAGCAACGCATTAATATATGTTTGGGTACTGCAAGGTGAGTGAATATTTTACTCTTTCCTTAACCTATTATTAAACCGTTTTTATTTTTAGAGGTATCAATTATTTACATACATTCCGGGATAAGCCACTCATACATGGAGATATAAAACCAGCGAATGTACTGCTCGATCAGTGCTTACATCCAAAAATTGGTGATTTTGGTTTGGCACGTGAAGGACCAAATGCTATTAATTCAGCCGTTGAAGTAACAAAAGTTTTTGGTACCAAACCTTATTTACCACCGGAATTCTTACATTCTAAAAAACTCAGCACTCAAGTAGACACGTACAGTTTTGGTGTAGTGCTGCTTGAAGCATTTACTGGGCTACGTGCTTATGATAAAAACCGTGCCAATGTTTTACTTACGGAACACATCCGTAGATTGTTTGCCAATGCCGAACACCAAGTCGAGAATCTGATAGATAAAAATGTGCCAGCCCTACCAGGTGAACTAGAGATATGTAAACGCACTATATTATTAGGTCTTGATTGTATAGCGGAAAGCCCACATTATCGACCAGAAATGGAACAAGTGCTCAAAACGATTGATAGCTACTATAATTTCAGTGTTTTGAATATGTAAAATTAGTCATTTTTTATATCAAATATTAATCGTAAATCATAAAGAATTTAACTTTTTTTTTTAATCATATGTTATTTAAATTTGACAATGAGGTAATAAATTATAACACAAAATTTAGATTTAAGAAATATATCCAAAAATAGTGTAAAATTTAGAAATAGTCTTGGAAAGTACCTGCTACAAATCTGTTACACTTAGCATATTTAAGAAAAATTTAAATTTCTGGAAGCATAAAATTAACTCCTATGTATATTTCTTAACCTTTATTCATTATCAATATCAATCAAGCGAAATGAATTTGAAACGATCGAAATTTCTAACTAAAATACAATATTTGCGAAAAATTTCAAAAGAAAAGGTACGTCGACAAAATGTCGCTCGGTTCGCTGTAGAGTTAAACGATGTTTTACATGAAAAACATGGAATCATTCAAATAAGCGATCTAGATCAGTGTAGAATAACTAGTACTCACCAAATTGATCCCGACAAGGATGTGGTAGAAGAAGAGAAGCCCATAGATATTGATGGAAATGGACTAATACAGCTTAACAATGTTTGTTTTCATTTGAAATGTACACCACAAAAGCCACCACATAAAGAGGAAGGGCCTACGATATCGTAAGTCTAATTTTTTTTCCATGTACAATCTTACTCAGATACTCAGAAACTCCTAAAAAGATGTGTAAATATATCATTATATAAAATATAGTAGTTGATATAATAGAATAGATTTCGCAATTTCCAACATCGGTTTTATCACTAAGTTAAGATTTACAGTTCATAGAATTTTTTTTTTTTTGAAATGTAATAGATTATTGAGCTGTTATAGAAAATATTGCGATATTCTATGGGTCGGTATGTTGTTACACTATTACGTTTTAAGTTGTTATCTATAGACAAATATACCACTTTTTGCAGAATACTATTGGAGTTAAGTAGGATATCAAAATTACAGATGGCAAAAACAAATTGGAATACCTCTCAAATTAATAAAGTAACTAAAGTGTCTACACTACTATAGCACAGACAACTTATATATAGAGACACAAAGCCACCCATAAAATCGCCAACAATTTTAAAAGTTGAAAAAAAAAAACCAGAAAAGTTAGTACACCTTTTTACTTAAATATATGTGTTCTTTGAATTATAGTTT